TTCTCCGGAGGTCAGCGCCAACGCATCGGAATTGCAAGGGCGTTGGCACTCAATCCCGAGTTCATATTGTGTGACGAGCCGACTTCGGCGCTCGACGTTTCCGTCCAGGCACAAATCCTGAACCTTCTGCAGGACCTGAAGCGGGATCTGAACCTGACCTATCTGTTCGTCAGCCACAACCTTGCCGTGGTAGACTATGTCGCCGATCGGATCGCAGTCATGTGCCGCGGACGCCTGGTCGAAATGGGCGAGACGCGGACGGTCGTTGGAAATCCGCTTCACCCGTACACCAAGGCGCTCTTGTCCGCCGTACCGGAGCCGGACCTGTCGGCGCCTTTGGATTTTGCCGCGCTGGATGCCAACAGGGCATCTGAACCGCAGCTCTGGCCGGAACCGTTCACGATTACCGAAGGCACGGAACCGTCTTTGGTTGAAATGGAGCCGGATCATTTTGTTTGCGCACCTGGACTTAAGAATTCCGGGGCACTTGAGGGGACTGCAGCATGAAGTTTGAATACTTGACGAAGATGGGGCTGTTTTTGAGCGCAGCCTTGATAACCACGCCGCTGGTGGCGCTGGAATTGAAGGAAACACCAGGTCTGGATCCATCGCTTCCACCTATTGCCGAACGCGTGCCGACAGAACCCCTGATCGTTGATCTCGAGGCGAAGGGACGAAAGATCGGCAAGCCCGGCGGCTCCCTCGATACGCTTATCGGCCGTGCCAAGGACGTGCGCCTTATCAATGTGTGGGGTTATGCCCGCCTTGTCGGCTACAATGACAAGCTCGAGCTGCTTCCCGATATACTGGCGGACGTGGAAGTCGAGGACGGGCGGATCTTTACGCTTCACACCCGCGAAGGTCACAAGTGGTCCGACGGAGATCCGTTCGACTCGGAAGATATCCGGTATTATTTCGAAGATATCGTCAGCGATGAAAATCTGACCCCGTCCGGTCTGCCGCCGTTTCTACTCGTCAACGGAAAGGGCCCGAAATTCGAGGTCGTCGACGACACGACGGTTCGTTTTACCTGGGACGAGCCGAACCCGCTCTTTCTTCCTGAACTGGCAAAATCCAGGCCACCTTTCATCTACCGTCCATCGCATTATCTGAGGCGTTTTCACGGCAAATACGGCAATCCGGACTTCATCTCCAAAGAAGCGGAAAAGGTGAAGGCCCGCAGCTGGGCACCGTTGCACAACAAGAAAGACGACATGTACAACGCGCGCAATGTCGAGTTGCCGACTTTGCAGCCCTGGGTTCGCAAGCGCGATGACAGCGACCTCCGTTTTGTTCTGGAGAGGAACCCCTACTATCACCGTGTCGACAGCTCCGGTCAGCAACTGCCCTATATCGACAAGGTCATCATGACGGTTGCCGATGGCAAGCTGATTCCGGCAAAAGCCCAGGCAGGCGAGAGTGAACTCCAGGCTCGGAACCTGAGTTTCTCCGATATCACTGTCCTGAAAAAGGCGAGAAGAAGAACGACTATGTCACCGCGCTCTGGTCGAACACCAAAGGGTCGGAGATATCCATTCTGCCGAACATGACCGTGAAGGATCCTGTCTGGCGGAAGCTTCTGCGCGACAAGCGGTTCCGTCACGCATTGTCCCTGGGCATTGATCGCAATCTTCTGAACAGGGTGCTGTTCTTTGGTCTTGGAACACCCGGAAACGATACCGTGCTCGCTGCAAGCCCGCTTTACAAGGCTGACTACACAAGCAAATGGGCTGAATATGATCCCAAGAAGGCCAACGCTCTTTTGGACGAGATCGGTCTCACGAAGCGGAATGACGATGACATCAGATTGCTGCCGGACGGCCGTCCGCTCGAGATAATCGTCGAGACAGCCGGTGAAGCCCAGGTGCAGGAAGATGCTCTCGAACTGGTTGGCGAGATGTGGGGCGAGATCGGCATAAAGCTGTTCGCCAAACCCAGTCAGCGCGACAACATGCGCGAGCGCGCTATTGCAGGCGATCTGCTCATGTCCGTCTGGTGGGGGTTTGAAAACGGCATTCCGACATCTGAAATGCCACCAACCGACTATGCGCCAGTCCGCGGTGATGCTCTTTCCTGGCACGCATGGGGCGATTATTACGAAACCCAGGGAGAAGGCGGTGAAAAACCGGACTGGGCACCCGCCAAGCGGCTGATGGAACTTTACAATGCCTGGCTGACATCAAAAACGCCCGAGGAACGAACGAAGATCTGGGACGAAATGCTGCAGATACATGCCGATGAAACCATTCATATCGGTCTGGTTTCCGGTGTTCGCCAGCCGGTGGTTGTAAAGGATGTCGAGAACGTGCCACTGGAAGGGATCTACGGCTGGGATCCGGGCGCTCATTTCGGTATCCATCGGATGGACGAATTCTATTTGGACGAAGATTGAGTTTGACGTCAAAGTTCGGTCAGGAACGGCAACTCTGGTGGTGCATTGCACGAAAACCGGATTGCCGTTTCATGATGACTGGGGCTAGGATTTGTTGACTTGCCAAAGCGGTCCGAGGCGTGGTGACCTGTCCGGAATGGGCACGGGTCCAGCCATGGATGGCAGGATGAACAGGTTCATTTTGGTGCATCGGATTTGCGTGCACCGGACGGGAATGTGAATGGGGCCGTTGGGTAGACACACGCTTTGGCGGTGTCGCAACAGTGAAACGGATACCGTTGTTTTGCGCGGTGCGGTTTCAGTTGTGTCCGCGGTCGTGTCGGGGTGAGGGGAGTATAGGTGCTCTATTACATAATTCGCCGGATTTTCATGATGGTCCCGACACTGTTGGTGATCAGTTTTCTTACATTTTTCATCATCGAACTTCCCGCAGGCGACTACATTTCCAACCAGATCGCAGCCCTCAAATCCACGGGTGAACAGTCTTCGGTTGCCAAGCTGGAATTTCTGCGCAAGGAGTTTTCGCTCGACCGGCCGTTTTTCGAGCGTTACCTGATCTGGATCGGATTGTGGCAAGGGCCGCATGGCTTTGATGGCCTCATCCAGGGGAATTGGGGCTGGTCCTTCGAGTTCGACAAGCCTGTTGACCAGGTCGTCGGGCCGACGCTGCCGCTGACAATCGTGCTCAATTTCGCGACCATCCTGTTTGTCTACGTTGTTTCGTTTCCGATCGGAATCTATTCGGCAACGCGCCAGTATTCCTGGGGCGACTACGGGTTCACATTCATAGGCTACATTGGCCTTGCAACGCCGAACTTCCTGCTCGCACTGATCCTTCTCTACCTGTTCAATCAGTGGTTTGGCCTGTCGGTCGGCGGTCTGATGGCGCCCGAATACATCGATCAGCCCTGGAGTTTCGACAAGGCCATGTCGGTTCTGGCGCATCTGATCGTTCCTACGATCGTAATCGGGACGTCGGGCACCGCGGCCATGATCCGGCGATTGCGTGCCAATCTGCTCGATGAGCTTCACAAGCAGTACGTCACGACCGGACGGGCAAAGGGGCTAAAGGAAAACCAGCTCCTGATCAAGTATCCGTTGCGCATGGCGATCAACCCTTTCATCGCCGATATCGGCAACCTGATCCCGTCGATGGTATCGGGCTCGGTCATTGTCTCCGTTGTCATGAGCCTGCCGACGGTCGGACCGATTCTCCTGTCCGCACTTCAGTCGCAGGATCAGTTCCTGTCCGGTTTCATCCTGCTGTTCGTAGCCGTCCTAACCCTGATCGGGATGCTGATTTCAGACCTGCTGCTCGCGGTTCTTGATCCACGCATCCGGCTTGGCGGGAGGGCCTCGTCATGAGCATGGACACCAGGGACGGAGGTCCGGCGCGTGAAGTGGAACACTACGTCGACCCAACGCCGTTCAATCCTGCTGTCACGGAGGAGATGACGGAGGAGCAGGAACAGTTTTACCAGGCCTCCCAGTGGCAGATCATGTGGTGGAAGTTCAAGCGCCACAAGATTGCGGTCTGGTCCGGAGTTGTCCTGATCCTCTTTTATCTCTGCGTGCCATTCGCCGAGGTGATTGCACCTTATGGACCAAACACGCGGGACAGCCTTCATCTTTTCGCTCCACCACAGTCGGTGCATTTGTTCAACGAAGGGGAATTCGTCGGTCCGTTCGTCTACGGCATGACATCCCAGATCGACATGGAAACCCTGCAGTGGGTCTTCACGGAGGATACGGAGAACGTCCAGCCGATCCGATTCTTCTGCCGGGGGGCATCTTACGAATTCTGGGGCCTGTTCGACGCCGATTTCCATCTGTTCTGCCCGGCTGAAGGGGGAACACTGTTCCTGATCGGTACGGACCGTCTGGGGCGTGACCAGTTTTCGGGGCTTGTCTACGGTGCGCGCCTGTCGCTCACAGTCGGTCTTGTCGGGGTCACCATTTCCATTGTCCTTGGTCTGTTTTTCGGCGGCATTGCAGGCTATTTCGGCGGTTTCCTGGACAGCATCATCCAGCGGATGATCGAAATCATTCGCTCGATGCCGGAACTTCCGCTCTGGATGGCGCTCTCTGCGGCCTTGCCGGTAACCTGGAGCCCTGTCTGGATCTATTTCGGCCTCACGATAATTCTCGGACTACTCGACTGGCCGGGACTTGCGCGCGCTGTTCGGTCCAAACTGCTCTCCCTGCGCGAAGAGGAATATGCCAAGGCGGCCGTGCTGATGGGGGCCAAGCCGAAGCGTGTCATCACGCGGCATTTGCTCCCCGGGTTCACCAGCCACATCATCGCGTCCGCAACACTGTCGATACCGGCAATGATCCTGGGCGAAACGGCGCTTTCCTTTCTTAACCTCGGCTTGCGCCGCCCGGCGATTTCCTGGGGCGTTTTGTTGAATGAGGCCCAGAACATTTCAGTCGTCACAGTCTATCCCTGGCTGATGGCACCGGTCGCTCCGATCATCATTGTGGTTCTGGCGTTCAATTTCCTTGGCGACGGTTTGCGCGACGCGGCAGATCCCTATAAGTGATGCCTTTGAAAACCGATCTGATCCGGCGGGCCGACCTGGCCCGCCTTTGCTGTTAGGAAGCCGCCATGTCGAAAAACGCAACCACTGCCGAGGGCTGGGACGAAGAATATGAAGCCGGGCGCTGGGCCTTTCTGCGCTCGCTGCCCGAAAGCGGACGATACGGCATCATCGGCATGTGGCTGTCACTGACGGGATCCATGGACGAGGTCCTGGACATCGGCTGCGGCGAGGGGCTGCTTTATGAGCGTCTTCAGCCGATGGGTATCAGGCGTTATGTTGGCATGGACCTGTCTCCGGCATCACTTGAAATAGCTAACGTCGACCCCGGGATCGCCTCGCTGCGCGCTGGCGACATGCATTCCTTCGAGCCGAAGGAAGGCGAAACATTCTCCGCCATCGTCTTCAACGAAGTGCTGCATTTTGCCGACGACCCGGCTGCTGTTGTCAGCCGCTACGTGCCGTTCTTGAAAAAGGACGGCGTTATCGCGCTCTCCATGTATTCCCCGAAAAAGCCGGAATCAGGCGCCAACAAGCTGATCAACAGCCTGTGGGCGGCAACCGATGAAGGAGCGAAATGGGACGTGCTCGACGACTACCGGCTCGTGTCGGACAAAAAGGGTGTCACCTGGCGCATGCGACTGGTGAAGCCGGTGGGATAGCGAGATAAGTCCCATAGTTCAATACCGTCAAGTTGTCATCCCGGCCAAGCGCAGCGCGAGCCGGGATCCAGTATTCGGCTTGATTTTGATTCTGGTTCAAGCAAGGGCAGTGGCTGCTGGATCCCCGCCTTGGCAGGGATGACAAGTGAAGATAAGAGTACGTCCCATTGAGAGACGCTGTTCAGGGTAGTGCCGCTTTTCTCGGCGTTTGAACAATCACTCCGGCAACACCACAATCGTCGATTTGCCGCCCTTGTTGCGGAGCGCATGGATATCGGCAAGGTCCGGATCTTCACGCCAGGCCTTTGCTGCGTCCGTGGTCGGAAAGGACAGGAGTGCGGTGATGTTCGGGGCGTCGTTTGCCGCTTCCAGAACCAGCGGTTCGGGGTCCGCGGCCACGACGCTGCCGCCATGTTTGGCAAGGGCTTCTGCCGCCTTTTCCCTGTAAGCGCCGAGAGTTTCCTTGTCGGTCACGGTGATCATGGCGAAGGCTTGTACGGTCATCGGATGTCTCCATTGTTCAAGATGTCTGCACGGTAGCCGGTAATGTGAATGCGAAAAATTCTTCAAAATCGGAACCTGCATGTGCAAAAATGCACGAGAAATTAATTTTTGTTTGATTATGACGGGTTAACAGCCTTTGGTGCCTTATGGACAACTGGGATGACTTGAAATTCGTGCTCGCGATTGCCACCGCAGGCAACGTCACAAGGGCGGCCAAGAGGCTGGGAGTGACACATTCGACCGTGTCGCGCCGGCTGTCAGCGCTCGAGGAGAGCATGGCAACCCGGTTGTTTGAACGTCTGCCGGAAGGCTTTGTTCCGACGGCAGCCGGAGAGCAGGCAGTTGCGGCCGCCAGGCGTGTCGAGGCCGAGGTCCTGACGCTCGATACCCGGATCACGGCGCAGGACACCGAACTTGAAGGTCCGTTGCGGATAACGGCGGCACAGCTGCTGTTTCAGGTGCAGCTTGCCGAGATCATGCAGCAGTTCTCCGAACGCCATCCGCGCATCGAACTGCAGATGATTGCGGCCAACGAGAAGCTGAGCCTGCACCGCCGGGAGGCCGATATTGCCGTCCGGGTGACGGACAATCCCGGCGAAACGCTGTTTGGCCGTCTCGCGACGGGCCAGAACCGTTGTTATTATATGTCCCGGAATTTCGCCCGCAAATATCGCGAGACGATGGAGACAGGACACGCCAGCATTCCGTTGCCTTGCGTCACCTTCAAGTGGTGGGGGCAAGGTGTGCCGAAGGAAATCCGGACGCGCTACACGTCGGCCTTCATCAGCCTTGTCGCCGATGACATGATTGCGCTCCTTGCTGCGGTCAAGGCCGGCATCGGTGTTGGCAGGTTGCCGTGTTTTCTCGGTGATCCGGATCCTGATCTCGTGCGCATTCCGGGCATGGAACCATCCCGTTATCTCGATATCTGGGTACTGACCCATCCGGATCTGAAGAATGTTGCCCGCATCCGGACTTTCCTTCGCTTCGCGGCCGATGCCTTCAAGGCCAGGAGCGGGCTTTATCTCGGGACTTGAAGCACTCTAAACCCAGCGGCGAACCTTCGTGAGATACTTCTCATAAGTCTCGCCGAAGGTTTCTCGCAGGATTTTTTCTTCCGGTTTGATCTGGAACTCGGTCAGATACCAGACAAAGCCCGGGATGATGATGAAAGACAGGTAGCTGCTGAAATAAAGGGATGCCGCCACCAGAAGAAACAGCAGACCGAGATACATCGGATTGCGGCTGAGCCTGTAGATGCCATCCGTGACAAGCGACGTCGTTTCGCCGGGCTTCATGGGATTGACGGTGGTTTTGCGGCGAATGAAGGTCAAAAGCGCCAACAGGTCAGGGATCAGGCCCAGAAAAAACATGATCGCCGCCAGAACGACCTGACCCGGAAAGCTGAATGTCAGTCCGGGAAACCAAGAACCGGCAGCGTAGGTCAACATCACGGCGACGATCAGGACCAGGGGTGGAGGAACCTTGAGCTTCATTGCGCACCGATCACCGATTCAACTCGATCGGTTGTCCGTGTGGCGTTGCCCTGGCAGCTGCATCCCAGGCGGTTTTGAGGTCGCCGAGCGTGTCTGTCGCCGCGATACCTTTCCCGCACAGGATTTTTTCAAACGCGGTCAGCCAGTGATCGTAATAGCCAATGGTCTCGCCACCGCCGTCACCGTCCTTGGCAAGTTCCGCTCCGAGGTGCTCCGCCCATTCGTGCCATGCAAAGAGGCCGGCTTCGTGGGCCTGCAGCGTCATGGCAAATACGCGTGCTTCCCAGGGGGCGGTGAAGACAGGTCCACCATCCTGAGCGAGCGGCAGGCGAGGGGTCGACTGAACGGCATCAGACAGCGTCAAGGTATGGCTCCCAGAGATCGAGTCGAATGGTCAATTTTGGATCGCTGTCCGGTCCCCAGACGTCGGGTCCCCTGAAAACCACCCCGTAGAGCCAGGTCGGTTGCTCCCCGAGCCCTTGGGAATTCGCGTCCGGAAAAACATGGACCCCGTGGACAGTTTCGATTGTGCCCTCAACGTCGCGGACGTAGCGGGGAAGGCGGGTGTGGTGTTCCGGATTCATGCGTTTCGTGCGGATCCGGTCACCTGCCTTGAAGCGGCTAGGCTGTTGCTCCGGACGATTGGCAGGACCGCCCTTTGCCAGAACGGCAGCAACATCTTCGGCCTTTACGACGCGCTTCAACGGTTTGGCAGGATTGAGAGACCTGCCTGCCTGAAGTTCCTGCTCACTCACAAGACCGCTTTCAACCAGCAGCTTTTCGAGCCCAAGCGTCCAGATCTTGTAGTAGCTGGAGGACAGGTAAACGGCAGGAGGCAGTGTTTCGCGGGCAAAACGGGACGTGTCGATGTTCCAGGTGCCGGTCGCGCCCATGGCAAGTGTAACGGCAAACGCGCGTTCCTCCCACTTGGCGTGGAAGTTCGGCTCGTCGTCTTCCAGCTCGATTGGACCGAACCCCATCTGGCCTCCAAGGTCCTGAGCGCCGTTCATGCCACGTCCTCCAGTTCGGAAGGGGCAAGCGCAAGACCGGTTCCGATCATGCTGTCACGGGTAACGAGTTCGGCGAGCTTTTCCTCGCTCCAGCCTTCGGTTCCCTCCGGTCTTTGCGGGATCACCAGGTAGCGGACTTCAGCTGTGGAATCCCAGACCTTTATCTCGGTGTCTTCCGGCAGGCTCACATTGAACTCTGCAAGGACGCCGCGCGGGTCACGAACGGCGCGGGAGCGATAGGGCGCAGATTTGTACCAGACAGGTGGCAGGCCAAGGACGGTCCACGGATAACAGGAGCACAACGTGCAGACGACCATGTTGTGGGTCGAAGCGGTGTTTTCCACGGCCACCATGTGCTCGCCCTGGCGTCCGGTGAAGCCGAGTTCCGCAATTGCCGCGGTGGCGTCGGCCATCAAACGTGCATGATAGTCCGCGTCGGTCCAGGTCCTTGCCACGACCATTGCGCCGTTCTTGGGCCCGATCCTGGTCTCATATGTCTCGATCAGTTCATCGAGCGCGGGCGGGTCGATGTATCCCTTATCCGTCAGAAGTGTTTCGAGCGCCCGAACGCGAAGTTCGATTTCCGGGAGCTCCGAGTGATCATGATCGTGATTGTGGTCGTGCGACATGACGATTCCTGAATCCGGTTCTGGGAGTCAGGATAATAGGCACCATGTCCGCAATGCCAAGCCAAGTCTCGTTTTCATGTTGAAAAACTTGAGGAACTTGACGGTATTCAGATGTCAACCGAACTCATAGGCGACATTTTCAAATTTGTCGGTGGGAAACCCATAGGCCATGCACAGACCTTCTTCGCCGGCAACAACGCCATGCACGGCGTTGGCGGGAATGAAAACCGCGATACCCGGTCCAATCGGGAGGTCTTCGCTGTCGATGGTCACGGTGCCTGAACCGGTCAAGCCATAGTAGAATTCAGCCGGCTCGTGGCGATGAGGGTTGAGACGGCCATGACAGGGGAAACTGGCCACGCCGAAGACAAGGCCGTTTGAGGGCGTCTTGTTGGCACAGATCAGTGTGCGCCATTCTACATTGCCAAAGACAGGATCTTCTCCACCTTCAACTGTCTGGTGATCAACATGCTCGGCAAATCCGCGGGCCGACGGAACGATGGTGTGAACGACATCACTGGGGGTTTCAGGAACGTGATTGGCAAGCATGAAATACACTCCGCTTGAAGGAGAAATAGTGCGTCTGGACAAGGGGAATTTCGTTGCAAAGACGATTTTGCGCAATACACTAAAATCTCATGACATCATACGATGAGGTTATACTATGAGCAGGCTTCCTTCCTTCTCGTCACTGCTTGCCTTCGATGCCGTTGCCCGTCATGGGACATTGACCCGCGCCGCAGTGGAATTGAATGTTTCTCAACCGGCAATCAGCCGCAGGCTTGCCGCTCTTGAAGACGATCTCGGCTGCGTCTTGCTGGATCGAGGAACGCGGCCGTTACAATTAACTGTTGACGGTCAGGAGCTTTACGATGTTTTGCGGTCCGGACTCGCCAGACTGGAAGCCGTTGTCAGCCGTCTGCGTGAAAAGTCTTTGCATGATGTGGTCAGTGTCAGTTGCGGTTCCGGTTTTGCCGCCTACTGGCTGATCCCCCGGTTGCCTGAACTTGAACAGGCATTGCCGGAAACGTCCATTCAGATCATAAGTCAGGCGTATGCAGAAGACGTTACGAATGCCGACGTGCAGATCCGGTTCGGGCACGGTGACTGGCATGGACTTGAAGTTCGCGCAGTCCTTGGGGAGGAGGTCTTTCCAGTGGCCAGTCCGGCCTATATCGAACGGACCGGGAAAACGTTCACGGTTGAAGCGCTGAAGTCGCATCGTTTGCTGGGACAGCAACGTGATGCCGGTGCGTGGTACAACTGGGAAACCTGGTTCGACGCGATCGGGACGCCTGCGACGAGGAAGCTGCGGTCACTTGATTTCGACAGCTATGCGTTGATGGTCAATGCCGCGCTGGCGGGGCAGGGCATTTGCCTGTGCTGGGCAGGACTGCTTGATGTTTTTCTGGAAAGCGGTGCACTTGTCCGCCTGACTGACGTGTCCGCGGGATCGGGGCGCGGCTATTTCGTGACATTTTCACAATCGGAGGCCGAGGATTCTCCTGTTCGAAGGGTTGCGGAATGGATCATGTTGAACAGCAGCAGTGCCAGTGCGGCATTATAGGCAAGTATTGCGTATCATTGAGCTTGCATCGGGGTCCGCAGCTCGCGGTTCGAACTGGTCTGGGGAGATCTCGGCCGAGGCATTTGTGATTGTCGGCAGATTTGTCAAGATCGGGATTGGAAATCAAAATGACTTCGGAGGTGCAGGTGAAGATCGGACTTGGCGGTGGCTGCCATTGGTGCACGGAGGCCGTCTTCCAGGCACTTGCCGGCATATCAGACGTGGAACAGGGCTTCATCCGCTCCGAACCGCCGGAGGACAGCTGGTCGGAAGCTGTTGTCGTGACATTCGACCCGGTCGCGCTGCCGCTGGAAAGTCTGATCGAAATTCACCTGCGTACCCATTCCAGCACCTCGCATCACAAGATGCGCGGCAAGTACCGTTCCGCCGTTTATGTCTATGATGCCGGAACAGGTGTGAAGGTGGGCCGCATCCTGCGCGGCCTTCAGCGCGAGTTTGAAGAGCCCCTGGTGACACATGTGTTGTCGCTCGCCGGCTTCAAGTTATCGGACGAACGCTTCCGCAATTACTACGCGACGGATCCGGACCGTCCATTCTGTAAAACCTACATCGACCCGAAACTGGCACTGCTGCGGAAACGATATGGCGGCGTGCTCAGGGAGACCCCAGCTGCGGCCGAATAGGAATTTCCCTCCGAAAGCATTGGTTGGGGGGCTCCGGGGCGCTACCAAACACTCCCTTGTCATCGCTGCGAATGCAGGGATCCAGTGACCGGCTGACTTGTTTTAAAAAAATGGAACAGTGGCGTACCGGATCATGAGCCGCCGCTTGTTCACGTCAGGACTGCCAGGAATATCAGCCGTGCCGCGCCCACGTGCGTCATCCCCGACTAGATCGGGATCCATCGGCCGCGCAATAGTGACGGTGTTATGTTTTTAACGAGAAACCGGCAAACGCAATGGCACTCCGAGAACGCGCTGGCAATGAGTGGATCCCCGGTCAAGCCGCGGTTGATACTGAATCCAAAAGGAATTTCTGGAACGGGTCTCAACGCGAGGCGATTTGAAAGCTCGTGACAGTCTTCGCTAACAATCAGACATGTCTCGTTGCTGCTGCCTGCCAAAACATCGGCACAGAACCAGAGGACGCATCCCTCTTCAGACTGCAAACAACTCCCGCACCTCCGGCCACATTGCTCCTTCATGATGTGTGGCAATCGCAAGGAACGTTTCCAGAAACTCGAAACTCGCCTCGTCATGCGCGAGATGATGCGTCAGCAGGCCGACCGGTTCACTATTTGTGTTCCGCCGACGGGTGAGTTGCAGGTCGAACCGCAGACGGGCGCTTTCCCAGCCGATGAAACGGACCTGCTTTTTCCACTTCAGAATGTCGATATGCGATTGAACCTGATGGGGATGCGGGAAATTGTGAAAGGTGAAAGTGGAAAGTCCGGGCAGGCCAATGCCGGGCAGACGTCGTGCGATCTCGGGATCAATCCTGTTCCAGGGCGGTACGATCGCATGGATGAACCTGGCGCTGAACAGAGCTTCAAGCCTTGCCTTGCCATCATCAAGTTGCGCCATCAACTCGTCCGGATCACGCCGGGACCCGAGTTCGGCTGCCTTTTCCCGTTTTGCCTTGAGCTGGAAATTCCTGTGCTGCCAGCCGTGCTGCAACACGAAAGCGTGCGGTTCGTTTGAAAGCCGTTCACCAAGCGCTTCCGTTGCATCTTTGGGGATGACTGCAAGAGCCAGGTCAACGCCGTGTTCATTGGCGAGCTTCAGCATGCGCTCAAGGGCTGGGGTCGGCTCGATGGCATCGTCGTCCCGCCACCAGAATCGCACCTTTCGGCCTCTCTCCGCGAACCAGTCAAGGTGCTGAACAAGTTCGTCTTTGAAGCGCTGTTGATCGGTCGGCAATGAGATTGAAGTCAAGGAAACGGTCCGGGTGGTTCAATTGCGGGAGGCGGTGAACAGGAAATATCCAATCGAGGCGAAGACGTGGTTGTTTTTGCGAAGCAAGTCAATGGCACCGCGCCATTCCTCCAATTCACCCTCGGAGACGACGCCAGCTTCGTTTGCATGCAACCCGATGCTATTGAAATAGGAAGCTCCCAGGTCCTGAGGAAAGATCAGGACCCTCGTTGCAATCTCGATATCTGCAAATCCGAGGTCCTCCAGGGCCGCAGCCAGCGGACCGGGAAGGTAGCTCTGCTCGACCGCCTGGGAAGTCTCGTGATCCACAATCCGGCGCATGAGCAGGCGATTGTCCGTGTTGATTGTGTTGGTTGAAAAATCAGGCTCGATCAGCGCCATGCGGCCACCTGGTTTCAGAACGCGTTCCATTTCGGCGAGCGCATTGGAAAAGTCCTTCAGATAGATAAGGATGCGTTCGGCGCGGACACAGTCAAATGTATCGTCGGCAAAGGGGAGGCGACGCGCATCTCCAACTTTGTAGTCGACTTCAAGCTCAGCCGTTCTTGCCCTTCTGATTGCCTCATCGACAAATTCGGGACTGACGTCGACGCCCGCCACACGGCCTGTAGGGGCCACTTTTTTCGCCAGGCGCAGTGTTTCCAGTCCGAAACCGCACCCGACATCCAACACGGACTTTCCCGGTGCCATATTGGTGCGCTCAATGGCCAGAGACTTCAGCTCCTGCAACTGCGGAATACCGTCGAACGCTTCCAGTGCCTTGATGTATTCGGACGTCTCGTGAACCTGGTTCATCGACTTGAAATGACGCAATTCCATTGACTGCAGCCTTTCCCGCTCTGTTTCTGTTCAGGGTGAGTGTTCCGCGGACCGAATTTGCAGATCGCGCACCAGGATGTCGGCACTTGTCTCGGCACCGCCGAGCTGCACCTGGTGATGACTGCGCGGCAGGGCAAGGGCATCATCGACGGCGGCCGCAAGACGTTCGGGTGTCAGTCCGGCCTCCGGTGTAACAACAGCGCGTCCATGGTGCGCAAGAGCCTCCGCACGCTGGCCTTGTTCGGTCTCGTTTTCCTGCGCGAAGGGGACAAACACCGCCGGAACACCCGCGATCAGAATGTCGAGAACGGTATTGTAGCCGGCCTGGCTGACCGACAGGCGTGCACGCTTCAGGAGATCAGGAAAATCTCGGCGGGCACGCTCAACAATGACACCTTTTGGAGCGCTCAACTTATAGATCGAAAAGGCGTCTTCCGATATGTCATGGCCGATCAGCACGCGCCAGGTTGCATCTTCGGCCCGGCGGGAGAGAGGTTTTGCTTCAAGTGCCGCCAGGAGCAGTCCTTCAGCCACTGCACCGCCGCCGCAGGAAACAACGATTTCGTCCTCCCCGTCGCTGCCTTCTGCCTGAGGACGTGCGTCTCCACTTGCGTATCCGGTATACCGCACAAGGTGATTTACCCGCTCGGCAAAGGGAAAGCTGTCTTCAAGCTGGATGAAATCCGGATCGGCATGGATCAGGACGCGGTCATAGTGATTCAAGGCCTGGTCCGCCATCCATTCCTCTTTCCAGAGTTCCTTCTTGCGCACGAGGATATCCCGGATCGATGTCGCAATGACGGGTGGTTTCGTCATCGACTTCGCATGGTTCAGGAGCGGGGTCAGCTCGAAATCCAGTTGCCGCCGCCCGAAGGGATAGGTTTCAGTCAGAAGGAGATCGTAGTTCTTCGAACCAAACGCTTGAATCGATGCTTTAACACGTGCGGATTTCCATTCATCGTCAATATCTTCACCGTCCAGCGTCACAAGCCGCTTGAAGGCAGCATCCGGGCTGCGGCACGCCGGAAGTTCGACAATTTCGAGAGGTCCCGTGTCGAGGGTCGGCGGGATCGTGTTGCCGCTTGCCAGCGTCACGTCGCCACCTTTTTTGCCAGCGCCTTGCCGATGTTCACGGCACGGACGACATGACCGGTCCCAAGAAGGTGCTGGACGTGGATGAAGGCCGTGAACCTCACGTCAGTTCCGCCTCTTGCCTGTGTGAATGGTTGCGAATGGCGCATCGTGCCAGATCATCAAGCCGTTTTGCACCGGCAGCCAGTGTGTGATTTTCAGCAATGTGTTTCCGAGCTGCCCGGCCCATCCGGTCAGCCAAAGCAGGATCATCGAATACGCGCTGCAGGTTGGCCGCGAAGGCGGCTGCATCACCTTCAGGAGACAGGAGACCCGTTTCTCCGTTCACAACGATATCGGGAACGCCAAACGTGTCGCCTGCGATCACACCGGTGCCGCTCGCCTGTGCTTCCAGGAAAACCAGCCCGAAAGCTTCGCGGATCGCCGGCCAGACAAGAAGATCGTGACACGCATATTGCTCGGGGAGCCGATCGGGAGGCAAGGCGCCGAGCCAGGTTGTTCTGGCCTCGCGAAAAAGCGAAAGGATGTGGTCCTTGTTGGGGCCGTCGCCGATGACGGTGAGGTGCCATGGCAGGTCATCGATCCGCTCCAGCGCCTTTGCCAGAACCTCATAGGACCGTGTCTTGTCGCCGTCGCGCATCATTCCCACCGCAAGGAGTTTCAGCGGCGGCATTGCCTCAATCCGGGCAGCCTCCGGTACCTCTTGAAAGGCTGCTGCATCCAGAAAAGGCAAAAGCACTGTCAGCCTGTCGCCTGGCACCACCGCTCGCAGGCATTCAGCGTCCGCATGATGCAGCGCCGCCACCGCATCAGCTTGTTTCAGGGCAACATCGGCCGCCGCGAAGCCGAACGCCCAATCCCCCTTCTCGCGCTTGGGAGCGCGACTTGCCTCGACGATCGCATAAGGCAGGTCGAACTGGCCTGACAAGAATGGTCCGATCCAGTCCGGCGCCTTGTGATAGAGGTGGTAGGTCAGAAACAGATCGGGACGGTATCCGTCTTGCCGCCATTCCTGCGCGATCTGATCTGCTTCAGCTAGTGCTTCAGCGCGAACCATTCCCTGAATCTTATTGCTGCCTTCCCGCCGCCAGGATCGGAAAGTGCTCGCGGTTCGCACGTCATGTCCAGCCGACTGGAGCGCCTTGACGATCAACCGCCCCATGGTTCTGTCACCGGAGGGGACCGGATGGTCCAATGGTTTCATCGGAGCGGTGAAGGCGATTTTCATGTGCCGGTCTCTGTTTTGATCTCAGAGCACCTTACGAAATTTTTCGGCGAGGCGGTCAAGTCCCGGATCTGTCGAGAAGTGCGTCCTCACCCTCTTGGCCGCAGCGAGTCCGAGTTTCTTGCGCTGCGCGGGATCCTTGACAAGGGTCTCGAGCGCGATACTGAGCTGGTCCGGGCTGCCGGGATCGACGAGAACCCCTGTTTCGTCCTGCACGATCAGCTCCGGAATTGCCGAAACCCTGGTGGATAGACAGCATAACCCCATGGACTGGGCTTCCATCAGGACATTGGGAAGTCCGTCGCGGTCTCCCGACCGGGCAAGTTTGGACGGCAGCACGAACAGATCCGCCTGCCGGCAGGCCGCGATCACTTCTTCCCTGGGTTGGGCACCGCGCCAGTTGATCCTGGCAGACAGGCCCAGTTCGTCCGCTTTTGCCTTCAGCTCGTTCGAAAGTTCGCCGCCGCCGATATGCGTGAACTGCCAGTTGAGTGCGTCGGGAAGCATGGCGAGCGCGGCGAGAAGATCGTCATAACCCTTTTTTCAACAGCGCGGCCGACGGAAACGAGACACACCGGTTCGCCGCTGCCGTCTCGTGTCGGAACAATGTTTT